TTTAGAACATGTGGATAATAAACTTCCAAGCATAGGTTGGACGGTTTTAAAAACAACTACTAAAACTACTCAAAATCGATCCACTCATAAACGCTCAAACTCGGTACTTTAAAAAACGCTTATAACCGATACGACGAAACTCGCAAGTAGGCCTTTAGCATAATTCCAAATAAAAGTATCTCTTGCATACAAAATTTAAAATAAGCCTGTGCTTGAAAATAAATTTATAAATTACTTATATACTCATTCAATATTAAATATTAATTTCAACAATATATTCATGATTACTACTTAGACTTTATTTGGGCCTCATTTTTTGGGAAAATAAATTTTGCAATTTTTTGAAAATTGTATGATTAAAGAATTGAAATTTTTTGAATTTATGTGTAAAATTATTTTATAAGAAGAATGTGTGAATAAATTTGAGTTTTTAAAAAATGAAACTCAAACAGGGATTTAATATTATCCATAATTTCGTGGGATGCACTATTATTTCTCTTCGTAAACTATTTATAAATTTTCCAAACGAAAGCAAAATATATATTTGATTACTAACTATTTAAACTTTTAAATGAAATTATTCAATATGATGACAAATTCAATAGCTATTTAAATCTCCTTGCCACCTAATTGAGAATATTGTCCTCGAGTAGGACAGGAAGTAGGGGGCAGGGTGGGAAAATTGCGACCACTTGGCCCTTAGGGCAAGTTTCCCTAACTTGTGTCAAAGTTATTTTTTTGGCACAAAAACTTGCTTCTGTAGCATTACTTTTTGTAGAAGTGCTTCTGTAGAAAATAAGTAACAAGTCCTTCATCAATTGGCATCAATCTTTCGCAAGTATGTGGGGTTAAAAACACTGTTTGGCACACGATTACACCGTGTTTTCACTTTGGTCACCAAAGAAAAAAAAAAAAAAAAAAATTAATCTTCACTCCCAATCCCCCAACCCCCTGCCATCACAAGCACCACCATGCGAGCATTTCTGCTAGCGTCTAAGCTGAAATAAAAATATAACTTTTGTAACTATTTGGAACAAAAAAAGAGTTAGTTGATCATAACGTAGTAACGACATAAATCTGAAGTCTAACCGTGTTTTTAACCCTGAATGTGTGAATGTATTGAGGGTGTAACTCATACCGATACAAATCCACCGAAGAGTCAACTGTTAAATAACTAGGATATTTATAAATTAGAAATTACAGTATTTTCACTTCAAACCTTGAATGAAATTTATATGACATATAAATTTCCACTAGCTAGTAACATGTCATTTCATAAGATAGAGAGTGCAGTGCTATACAATATTAGAGTCGAAAAACAAGTCTTGTTCAATTTCAACTCGCGTACTGAACATATCCCTAAAAGAATAGTGTAACGTCAACGAAATAATTTGAGTTCATATCGATTCCAATTAAAATTAGAAATGCCATTACCTGAAGGACAATTTTGAACATGAAATTGTTATTGAATTCTATGTGCAATAACACATCAAGTTTTTTATCAAGATTTTCAATGGATAATAAAGGAATACAAAAAATATGACTTCCATGGGTTTAATTATTCCACCCCAGTTCTTGAATTATATGAATGTAAATACCGGTTTGAACCTCATATTTTGCGGGAGAAAGGCCTGTAACTTGTGCAAGACAAATACTATTTGAACTCAAACATGGACTCAAATCAACGATTTCAAAATTGCGATTTTGATTCGTTTTGACAGATTGGTTGTTGTTTTTTTTTTCACCTCTGGTATCGTATTCAATAGACGACAATTGAAAAACAATTTCAAATTTGTGAAAGAACAAAAACGAGATAAATCAAAAGAGGACTGTATATACTGTTAGCCCAAGAATAACTAACCAAGAGGGGGGTGAATTGGTTATTAAAACTTTTTCGTTAATCATTCAAAATTTTAATAAGTGAGCATGCAAATGATAGAGAATAGTC